AACAGCAGTGCTTATAAAAATACACAGTGCTATAAGTTTTCCTGCTTTGTGTAATATATTAAAACTTTATCAACGACTCTTAATGTATTCTAAATACATTTGTGATTCTAAGAGCCCAAGTACGTGTAGTACCGCGGTTAAGGGCTTGGGGTTGTATAATAAAAACTGCGGATGTCAAAGAGACGGGCGGGTGTAACGAGCACGCGGCCCTCGTGAACAAACTCTGCACTTTTATTGCGAACGCACCCCTCCTGCAGCGAGACTACTCGACTGCGAAATACATAATCATTACAGATAAAGGATCCCTTCGACAATATTGTGGCAAGTGCACTGAATTATTAAAATTTTGTTTTAATAATGTGATGAAATGTGACGGAACATATTCATTATTTTTGACACCCGACATCGTCCAACTACATATATTTGGGAAGTATACTATGTATGAAGAATTTAGGTAGACATACGATCATATAAAAATAACCAATCATTAAAAACAAATGGGACTGCCACGTACGTAATAAAAAAATATGATTCTAAAGCTATGTCATCGTTTGGCCCGCAAATAAAAAATCTCGAAACCATTAATATATCATTTTGGCTACGCAAATAGTAACAGCTGTTGCGTTTTGTCTAAGTTAAGTTCTACCAAATATCTGGTATAAATCGTATTATTAAGTACATGATGTAGCCTGTGTATCTATTTTTAGTTCAGTACACTAAAAATAAATCGATTGGTAAGTGTGATGATGAGCAGTCCATTAGTGAAGCGAGGCATGCGCCCGCGCCGGTCACCGTCCGTCGTGTTTACAATGCAAATCATCGAGCATCGCTTGCGCACCTCGCATCCAATCGGCCGACATGTCATGTGGAGCGAAACTACCCACTATACTTTCGTAGGGTACAGACGAACAAATCATATGCACTTTCGACTGTACGTACGATAAGAAAGTGTAATAAGCAACTTGTAATTTAATGGACAAATAAAATGGAAGGGCTTTCATCATCTCATAAATGTAAAAGTTATTTATAACTTTATTAATCGTACTGCAAATAAACCTACTGTAAATTCGAAATCATTTTGAAGGTAATATAATGGAACAGTGAAATCGTTGACGCAGAAGTATTAAAAAACGAATAGTGTTCCGTTTTATGACCCGTTCATTTTCTATGGGGGATGTAAGAAAGGGCCGTTTTCGCTACAATCTGTAGCCGCATGCTAATGAGCTCGCGTAGTCCACGGCTTGTTTGGCATCTAGGGCTTACTCTCATTAATCAATACACATTCTCTTTTAAACGCTACGTTTATTTATCATTTTCTTTTGGTAATTCCGAGTAATTTTATACGCTAGTGTGTCAGAGCGACAGTAATTGTTCTAATCGCACAATTATCTTTATTAAGTGCATTTAGGCCGGCAGTTCCTGTAATAACCTTAACGACATCGTGTCTCTTAAAATGTTATATACATATGAACGTGTTGATGACATGTCAACGACTTTAACAGTAAAAGGTCAGATGGAAATCGCTACAACGTTTGTTGAAGAGAATTGAGATATTTGGAAAATCCCAAAATCCCAAACAGCATACTATAAGATATTAGTATTTTGCTATTGTCAAGAAGACTTTAACAGATTCTTAATATAAGTTTTGGAACAGACACACAGACATGTTTACTGTAACTTATTAAGACTTAATTTAAGGTCCATTATGAACGGCGCAAGCTGACTAGTTGAGTAAAGGATTGTCCCCGACATGTATACAATCCAACAATACAGCCATTTCGCTCGCGTGGATACAAAAAGTAAATTTACGATTTTCGTAGGCGACAGTTTGACCTAGGACGGAACCCAATAGATAGATATCTTGTCACCAACAATCGACTAGTACCTATAAGCTAATAATAATGAGTAAATCATAAAAACTATAATCATATGATTCAGATTTAAGAAAACATTGTTGTATATTTTCCGAATATGAGCCGAGTTGTCATTATAAAACGATACATCCGCGTCGTCTTTTATTCCTAACAAGATATGAATGAAAGTTGGCAGATAAAGAGTTGTCCAACAGTGTCAAGGTCACCGCGTGTTGACCGCGGTGCCAACTGATACACAAAACACGATGCGTCCACGCATTCGTGATTTACAAGAGCAACAAATTATGTTTAGTTTAAAAATTCGACAAATGTTCAACATTCTTGGAGCTAAATTAAAGTAAATAATGAAGCTGCTAATAGTTTATTATGCGCTAAAAGCAATAAACGAAGAATTGTTTCATTTATTTTCATATTATCTCAACGTAGAAAATATAGCTTTCAGAATAGAATTTACAGATAATAATTGTATCAATTTCGTAAGCTCGTAAGCTATACGATTAGTTAACTATGCTAGTAAAGGTAGAATGGCATCAGTGCGTGCTTGTCCACCCAGCGTATCAATCGCTTATCGCTCAATTAACATCAGCACACAATGTTATCACACCAAGATCGCTACGACACCGCACCGCCGCCGTCCAATTCAAGCACACACGATTTGCACCCAATTTAGGGCCCGTTGTCAACTCAGTTATTTAACTAACACATAAGCATCATTATTATGATTTGTTCAAACAACCCCGCTAATAGCTAATGTCAACGTAAATTCTCTTACATGACAGCCACTATTAAGTTTCCACGCGAATAATATTGCAAGCGGAGAAAGTGTTACAAGTGGACTTACATATGACCAATGACACAAAAAGCCTACCTCACTGGACATAAGGGTCAACTATAAGCTTTCATATTTCGCAATAAGAGCTAAATTAAAATGACCAAAATATGTCTAGGGTCTTAATCCAAAGCCCCGGGGTGTATTAGTGACGAGTGGCCTCCCCCATTTGAATACACAGCTCACGACAGTTTAAACATTTAAATCTCTTAATCCAATGAGACGGGTCTACTGTCCATCGAAGCGTAAAACTGAAAGGACACGAAAGGATTAGAAATTCGATTACAAGCGTATAAATCATTCTGTACATACCGACGAACTAAAATTAGCAAGGAATGAGATCATAGATTTCTGTTCTTGAAAGTTAATGACGGCGGGGATTGATTGTATGTAGCTATACCTCTATATTATCGTCAACCAATATTTCCTGTTCGCTTATAATATTAAAGCAAAATAAAACTCTTATATTAACATACAGTTAGAAAAGTAATGATTAGAAAGGCTTCGTATCGGTGTCGGGGGAAGGCGGCGCTGCCGGCAGGGCTGCAACCAGGGGGCAAAACAAAGTATCCAATTTCTCCACTTCCCCACTTCCGACGCAATTACGACACAATATTGTGGGGCTGTGGCGGCGCTCTGACCACAGCCCGACTGAAATCTAGGCACCGCAGCAATCTCGTTACGGAACATAAACTACACTCTTATTGTTCGACCGGTTTTTTCGCAAGACCTATTCAAACAAAGAGCTGAGCACGTACCAAGTACTGCTGTGACCTGTACGGGGTACAGATGTTCGCGTTAAGTTTCAATACACTCGAACAACAATTATGGTTCACAATCATTTCCAAACTTCACAATTAGGCAACTGCTTGAAAAGAAATGTTTGAACACAGAGGACTGTTTGAAAGCGCGTACTAGAAAATTAACGTAGTATCTGTCTTTAAGTTTTCTGAGGTTTTATTTTTACCTCTATATTAATGTATAAGTTAACTTTCTATATTTCAATTACCTATCTAATAAAAACCTCCATAAATAGAATATTGGATTAATTAGTAGGTTGATTAGTTCAGGACAATGCGACTAGAAATAGAAACCTGACAGATGGTGGACTCGAGGGGACCCTCCATTATGAAATGTGATGATAATACCTTTAATGCGCAGGTTGATCGGATTGTGGGAATACCCACTATATTATTACACCCTCCTTACACATCGATAGACATGTTATGACAATCACGGTGCAGATAAAATTGATTCGACAACGAAGCAGATACAAAATCTTTTCAATGTGTAAAAGAATTATCATGGACATATTAGAAGAAAACACATATTTTTCACTCTCAACAATTACTCACAGAAATATCCAACAAACCTAATCCACAAGATGTACAACATAAACTTTCATATTTACAAACAAAAGAAAATTCTTTTGAACAACGAGAAAGCTCTTATCTGTGTAAGTGTTGCATTAAAGACACTTCACAGAGATTTGAGGGCGGCAAAGTTATTGTTCTAACCATAATACTTAGACCCTCCCCGAGCCCAGACTGCTTCATCGAGCGGGAGAAACGAGGGGGGAATATGTGTCAAAGATTTTCACTGAATGTTTCGACGAGGGCACTCGGTTCACGAGCGTACGCGTCATAATCATGTGACCCTTTGTGACAACATAATCACACTTGATCCGTGCCAATCGATGCCGCCGGCCAAATCGCTTTGTTATCTGATCTGTTGTCATTACGAGACAAAAATCGACTATCAATACAATACATTAGGTGTTTTCCAACTAGACAGCAATTCAGTGAACAGCTGGAACGAATCGACATGCCTTTGCAAACATTCATAATGTGAGCACTTGAAACCTTGCAGGTTGCTTGTTTTGACGGTTAATTGTCATTTTATCCTGTCTAGTGAGACGCCGTGACTCACGGTATTGTGTAAGAACTGGGCTCAAGGTCGGCGGCGCGATTGAAACAAGCCAAGCACTGCATAAACGTAAACAGGCCTGTTTCGCCCGTTAATAATATTGCACACGTAAATGCACACACAACGGTTGCCAAATAGTACTTACCTGGTGTTAGCAAATGCTAAATTAGGGTAAAGATAAAATCAGTGCAGTCATGTATATAAACGGCGTCGTTAGAGGTTTGCGTAACTTAAGCCATTACTCTTATGTTCATGTTGTTCGGAGAGGATAATTAACTCATTGCAAATGCAAAAACAAAATGATCAGTAGGTACATTTAGGACATAACCTCCAAAAATTTTAATGTCAAAGGGTCTGTATCTTCCACTTACCAGGATCAGCGGCCAGCTGTCTATACACAGCAAGAGCGACATCATCTTCGCTGACGAAGTCCCATAGACCATCACAGGCCACCACCACAAAGTCTTCGTCTCCATCCAGCTCCACCGTCGCGATCTCAGGCCGCGCCGTCACGTACGGCTTGTATTGTGCGTCACCTGGACAATAACAAAATAATAATTCATACAGTACATGTAGTTGTAATAGGTACTCTAAAAAAGAAATGAGGGTAGGAACGCCAACGGAGTGTTTTTTTTTTCAGTGCGCAAACTATAGCCATTTAATCGTGATAATTCCAGGCACAATAGTTAGAAAAGATGTGGATGTTGGGGTTTGGTGAACTAGACTAAAATGCTGTAGTTTGTTATATTTTCCGGGGATGTGGGTCAAGCACAATAAGTCACCGCGGCATCTCGGCCTGGAGTAGGAGAAGGAACTGTTTCGTTTTTAGTCAGTAAGAGTCAAATCTGTCGCCTTCTGGGCAAAACAGGTCATTTGCTAATTTTCCATAGATACTTCAGAAATGTACTAATCTATGTTGAGCTACATGAGACCTAGGCTAGCAGAATGTATGAGAAACAACATTTTACACCTTAGTTATTAGCTTATCGCGTCGCGCGCCGCTGTAATGGGATTTAACAACTAAAATGTTTAGTAATAGTAAACCACGTATTACGTAACAACAGCCAGAGGTAATGTATGAATTCTTTATTAAAAAACTACAATAGAAACAAAACTAGAGTGGGCAACAAAAACATTAAACCAAAAAATAACTTAGATGACAAATAATGATAAAATGGAAAGGGGACTTGCCCTAGTTACCCATACAAAAATAAGGGCTAAAGCTTGTACGCAATCGAATAATTACGAGGACATAGTAACTAATTTGTAACTACAATAGCAACTTCATACAGTATACCAACTTAATAAAAGTTACAGATAGGGACCTCTTTGGTGGTCGCAATGTGGGCCTGAACATCCGACACAAGTCAATCGCCATCAGACTAATCTTGCATATAAATCTGTTGCCAGCTTTGACGATGTCGGTGAATTAGGGGGTATTGTAAACGTTTCGCAGCCTAATCTCCCATGGAACGCGAAATCGATGAGTTTTATCCCGATACGTGGGGACAAGGACTCGGGCGGAGCTGTGAAGAAAATGTCAACATTATTATGTTACTATAGCGTTGGCGCCCTTTCGTGTCCTTGCTAGTGATGTGAATATTCTTACAACTCTATTAACTAATTTTATGATAACGGAAGTATTGTATAGAATTACGTTTCCAAAATATAAACTCGTCTTTGAAAACTGTGAAAATATTAAAAAGTGAAGTTGACCTAAGCAAAAATCAAAAAAGGAATTGGTTTAGTGCAAAAAAGTTTAATATAATAATAATAATAAAAAATTATGCAAATGTAAAAATAGCTGATAAATTAAAAAAATTTAAATTATGAAAATCCTAGCGTTTTTTTATTCGTTACTTATCGATATGAACAGTGCATTTTCTCGCAGTTGAGTGCATCTCTATGCGGGTGCGTGTCCAAGGTGATCGATATAGTGGGCAGCCCCACTGCTGGGGTTGTTGGGAAGGGAGTGCTACGCGAGGGGAATCCGGCCGCCCGCGCGACACCGCGGCGCCACCACGCTCACACATTCATACCACTCACTTTCACAAAGAAAACCCAAGGTAAAAAACGAAGGGGAAAGAATGAAAGAATATGTCTATTGACCCAAAAGTTAAACAAGAAATGATATCTGAGTCAATCAGGCAGTGGGATTAACTTCTTACATATGAAGTTTGTTAGTACGTCTATCAATTGATAACGCAAAAACCGCTGAAGGGATTTGGATGAAATCTGATATACAGATAGATGATGACTTAAATTAACCAAAATTAATCTATACGTATCGTTTACGTATGAAACAATATTTAAAGTATAAGTTGTCTCAATGTCGAACATTTTGTTTAACAATTAGAATTTTGAGCATCACTCAATAAATATTCTCAACGCACAAATCATAAAAGTACCTGACAATTATATTCAAATAAGACATGCGTGACATTGATACCATTTTGACTTTGATGAATCATAATTTATTAAGTATTGTTCCTTCTAACATTATTTTATATGGAATATTATTGTTGTCTTTATTCTCCATGCAATCACGGTCGACACTTGAGGTCACACTTTCGATAGTTTTAGTGGAGCGGTTTTATTGTTGTTACATTTGTGAAACTCGACATTATCTTATACATAAAAATGACTTGTTGATCGTTAGTCTTGCTAAAACTCGAGAACGTCTGATCCGACTTGGATAAAAAATTGGTTCAAATCCAGGGAAGGATATCATACAGTTAAATTGGAGGCGGTATTAAGTTTACCGGGTCAGCTAGTCATACATAATTACTTAATTGCAGTTCTGTTGAGTTTGGCCACAGAAATCTATAATTACTGCAGACAGATACCAACGTCACTTGTTTTGTATAGCTATGAATCATTGTCCAGATTTAGGAGCTACGAAAATGAACAAACATAAAATACGCATTACAATAGATAATAAATGTACGAAAAGGTACCTTCCCTTGATACCCATGTAATTGAACCCTTTCGCCACCTTGTTCACAAAACCACTTCATAGGAAAACAATAGAGGCAAAAAATTAACAGCGACCCGTCAATTCATCACAATCGGTGGCATCATTAGCGGTGTTTTACTGAATAAAGGTCCGTCCCGACTGCGGGGGTCCGAACTAACTGCTTAATGATCGGCACACGCCAGCCTCGCATCCCGGCACCCGTGAGAAATGGCTTCACCCGCCCGCCAATAACAATAAAACGACCTATTAACTTTCCACTCTTACGCCTACAAAACAGCTACTACCAAATAAACCCTTTACAATGTTTATTGTGTCTGTTTTTTCGATATAACAATTATATTTTGACATATTTTTTGTATCGAATTTTTGGTTAAGTACTTATGCAGTTTTTTGTGTATAATTTTTTGTCTTTACGCTACAATAGACACAAACCGTATGAATGACAAGGCAACAATTGGAATGATGGCAGTTAGATAATTGCTTAACCAATACCAAAACAAATTATATACAATCTCATAATTTTGAAAATAGACTAGATTCAGCAAATACTAAGTGTGTAAGAGCTATGCTTCGACATGAATGGGCAAAATCCCTAAATCTCTACAACCCTTTTTCATAAGTGGCCGGCAACGCACACGTAAGTCCTCCGTAATTGCGGGTGTCTATGGGCGGTGCTGATTGCTTACCATAGTAATCCGTCTATTCGTTTGCTGCCCTATACTATAAAAAAAATATTTAAAAATAAAACTACATAATTCTATTTACGACAAAAAAGCTTCTCACGACATATTAATTTAATAAACAACCAATTTCCAACTAGTGCGAAATGATACACATCTTGTGCAAATAAATTTCCTGTGCAAAGAGGTTGCATGAGAAAAGTCACATGATTATATATAAAGAAAACAAAGCTAAGTGATTATGAGTACCAACATGGAGTAAATTGCTTCAGTGGTCGAATATCTATACTAATATTATAAAGAGGTAAAATGTGGAAGTTTGTATGTAGGGGGTAATCTTTGGAACCACTGGTCGGATTCCCAAAATTCTTTCACTTATTGATAGCTACAATGCTCCCGAGTGCTATAGGCTATAAAACATCAGACATCACGCTACAATCAAATGGAGCCGAGCAGCGAGTGAAAACACGTGAGAGTAGCTAGTATGTAATATGTTTGTTCGAAGCTCTCGTTAAAAGAGGACGTTGAAAACATGGCCGATACTGTGAAATTTTATGTTGCACATAAAAGTTAAAGAGGCGGCGCGCTCTCGTGGAAATGTCGTTCGGGATATAACGCAGCGGTTTACTGCGCAAAAATCCATGTGCGTCCGAAGTAATGTTATATCGCGCGAATGTTTAATGTTTTAGTTGCCTTCAACAGATTTTCTAAAGAAAATATGTTTTATATATGAAACTTATATTTTTTTTACGAGATAAGTCGGCAAACGAGCTGACGGATTACCTGATGGTAAGCAATCAGCGACGCCCACTGACACCCACAACACAAAGAGTTACGAGCGCGTTGCCGACCTTTATTGGGGATTTGGAGATTTAAGGATTGGGGAGGGCAGGGATTGGGCTTCCGGTAACCTCACTCACACGGCGAAACACAACGCTGGTTTTCGCACGCCGGTTTTCTGTAAGGCGTTCGCATTCGTGCCGAAGCATGGCTCCCCCATACTTAAATATAGTTATAATAATAGGACAATATTTAAAACTTTGTGTTTTGTAAAGACATTAGTTTGTTCTGACATTATTTTCAGTTCTGAAACTTTTATAAAACAAAGTTGTTAAATAGCGCCTGAAGGAAATCTCTTCGTGTTACGCTGGTGAGCGACTGTGTATCATCAAACACAAAATGTATCATTACAATAATAAAATCTAATATTTGTGATCGTATTATTCATATATTTATTGAATTGCAATTAAAACATCACTTTTTTATTATAACTTTCGTGAGACATTCTAAATTATTTATTATGTTTTCGGCTTACTCACGTAATAATTTGACGAGATACTAGACTAGTTTCAAGCCATGCTAGAGGCCCATATTCATGAGCAGCATTCCGCGACATACGACTCGGCGACTGTCGCGCTGAACACATCAATCATAAAACATCACTTATTACTCGAAACGGAATAACTAAACTATATTATAGGAAAAACTATAACCTCTAACCTGCACGTCAAGTTAAGGAAATTTATCAAGCTTTATAATGAAAAAATGAAAGTTCTTATAAAACATAAAAAATAAGTTTTAATTCATTTTATTAAATTACTAGTTTGAACATTATGTACTCATAAAATATACATAATAAAGACAGCAAACTCCAAGGTTGCTTTATTTGACTATGTTATAAATACATAAGCCAGTAGAAGGTGGAAAAACTGGCCATTAATATAAAAAAAAAATCTTTTTTAGGAACGTTTACGCTGCATGTGTTTTTTTTTTCAAACTTTCAAATTAAGAATGATGGACAGTATCCACGATTCTGTGCTTGTGAAAATGTAGGTACGTAATTGTGTTTAGACCATGATATACTTGTAAGTACTAAATAGTAAATATCATTAAAATCGGTACAGAAGTGTCCATGATTTGTGCAATTTATTTATATGCATGATGACCAGATTCACAGTTTTTGAAAAAAAAACACTTTGTTTAGTACCGGTCTGTGTTAGTACAGTAGCTAATAATTAATCAACAATTCCTATTAAATTTTTGGTAAGAAAATAAATAAAATCTATACATATAAAACATATAAATTCAATTTATTTATCATTCTGGAAATATCCACGCCACGTCTTCATCATCATCATCATCACCCAGTGCCCACTGGAGGCCTTTTTCTGACACGGAGAACGGTTTGGGCATTAATCACCAGTTCACCACGCTTGCTCAAGGCGTATTAGCGTTCTCAAACTTATAATTAGGATTATCAGTTTCCTCACGATTTTTTCCATTACCGTAAGTTTTTTATGAAATTTGTCAGCAAACGAGCAGCTGATTACCTGATGGTCAGCAATCGACGCAGCCCATGGACACCCGCAACACCAAAGAAGTTACGAGAGCGTCGCCGGCCTTTTGGGTATAAGGGTTGCGGATATTTAAGGATTGGGAAGCGATAGGGGTGGATCAGTGGTGTCTAAATTATGATTAAAAGTACATATAACTCGGAAAAGGTCACATTTATACTGGCCAAGGAAAAGTTCTTAATGCTATAACAGATATACTTACCGATAGCTCTGGACACCGCCAGCTGTCCATTAACTCTCCAGGTTCCCCAATACATTACTGTGCCGCCTGAAGATTCTATTCTGTCTCTTTCATCCTATGAAAACAAAAATTATTGAATTAACTTTCCCATTGACAATATCGTTAGGTACATCTATCGATTAGGTTAGGCTTAGTCATAAAGGGCCTTAATGGTACTAGCTGCTCTGGTGCGGTTTCATCCGCTACTCGGCCCGTACAGATTGCAACGTGATGTTTAATAGCCTATAAGTAGCTTTCCTAAACGGAGTCATAAACACAAATAGTCTTATTATTGTTGAATTCGAATCAGTATAATCCGAAGATTAGCGCGTTCAAACAAACAAAGAAACTCTACAGCTTTATAATTTTAGTATAGATAAAACGTAAAGGGAATCACATTGAGCAGACGGAACACGGACATTCTGATGGTGTGTGATACCCACCGCCCTGGGACCACCGGCTGCATAAAATATGTTAGGTACTGGATGCCCTGGTAAGTAATACGTAATGGATAGTACTAGTCGTACATAGAAAGATTTGGCACATAAATTCTTAGCATACAGGAGTCGAAAAATATTAAAGCGATTTTTATGCGCGAGCGGAAAACTTCGTTCCGCCTCAAAAATAACTAAAGCTTTTTGACTTTTTAAACCTTGCCTTTACTTCCCAAAATTATCCAAATCAGACCAGTAGTTCCCAAGATTTAGTGAGACTAAAGAACAGCATTTCATTTTTATATGTTAGAAGATAATATCGTAAGGTAAGTATTCACTTAAGAGTCGTAGTTGCGACGATAATCGCATACAATATACATACATACGCTCCTTCGGATTTTTTCAATTATTGTGCCCTATTCCAAAAATTCATAATCATAAGTGTGGGAGAGCCATGCTTCGGCACGAATGGGTCGGCTCGACCGGAATGATACCACGGCCTCACAGAAAACCGGCGTGAAGTAACCACAGCGTAGTGTTTCGCCGTGTAAGTTAGGATACCGGAGGCCCAATCCTTCCCCTCCCCCAATCCCTCCTCAATCCCTAATCCCTAAAAGGTCGGCAACGCACTCGTAACTCCTCCGTTGCGAGTGTCCACGGGCGGCGCTGATTGCTTACCATCAGGTAATCCGTCTGCTCGTTTGTCGACCTATTACATAAAAAAACAGTAGTAGATAGTAATATAATTGTTACCTGTCGTCCAGGTTTGTGTGGTCGGACGAGCTGCATGAGGCGCATGCGCTTGGCGAGCAGTGCCAGCGAGTCCCCCGCCCACGCCGCCAGCAGTCGGCGCCCGCGCACCGCTACCGCCACCGCCGTACTGCCGCCGCATGCACGCTGCCATCACGCAACAATTCATCATTAATACCAATGGTATCTATACTAATATTATAAAGAAGTAAAATTTGTATGTAGGGGGTAATCTTTGGAACCGCTGGTGGGATTGCCAAAATTCTTTCACTGATAGATAGCTACAATGTTCCTGAGTGCTATAGACTATAAAACATCACGCTACGATTAAATGGAGCCAAGCAGCGGGTGAATTAGTGGGCCTCAAAAGTTCCTGGCTATTTGTGGTCCTTGGAAAGAAAGCGCTGGGAAACTAACAGAAGAGAAAAAAAAAGAATTCTGTTCAGGAATAAATGTTTTTGGCTGTAGATGAATATAAAATTTTACTAGTTATTATCGACTACATAAAAAGGACCATGGAAGCTTTTTTTAATGTTTTTTTCTGGTTAGATTGCCTCAAATTATTAAGGGGATATCTAAGTTATACGCTTGAGCTGCATACATTTTACAATCCGTGATATCTGGAGTCGACTGAATTTAGTACAAAGTCATATTGTTCTTACAAATAAAATCAAAATTTTATCTGCAACTTTGTTAAGGAGTTGTCAGCTTTATTATTGCAACTTTGTACTTTTTACTTTCAAGTATTAGGTTACCGGCAACAAAACCTCATTGTGTCATTTTGTGCGCAATTAATTTATTACTAGCCTCCGCCCGCGGCTTCGCACACTTATAAAAGTAATGTATTCCGGGATTTAAAAAACAGCAGCTTTTAAAACGATAGCTCGACTTTAATACGCAAATCCAGAATAATTTATAGCCTATAACACTCAGGAACATTATTTTTATATCAGCCTGAAAACGTCCTATCTTGAAGGTGCGACATCCCTCAGTCTTTATACAATAACTTTATGATAATATAAACAAAACTAGTATGTCTACATATAATCACATTCACACAGATGTCAAGGTATTACAAATGGGCTATGATCGCACATTTTTCAATGAATCCGTACTACATCTCTGTATTTATCTGCCTATATTCGTGTGAAAACTCATCAAAATTAGCTCTACTATTTTGGATGGGAATACATAACAAATAAACAAAATTTTTCATTCATAATAAGTAAGCTAGTAGGTAAGTAATAGTCAAAACTACATTATTTTAAGTACAATTTAAAGCACTTTGGTACCAGTGACTCAAGTTATATATGTACCTTAATATACATTACAATACATTTCTATATGTACTTATACATATATGTAAATGGGCATATAAATATAGAGAACTATAAATCTCATCCATAACAATATTTTATTGTGTATATTTCCGCGTCCCTACGTGACTGCGATAATTTTATTGTAACCCTATAATATATTCTAACTGTAAGTCGAGAATAGAATAACATCTAAAACAAAACAAAACAATAACAAGTCGACTGTGCAAAGACCGTCTTATTTCCAAGAACACAAGAATCTTAATCAATTTTATGCGAAGTTTTTTTTGCTATCGTTGCATTTCAGCGGAGACTGTAACGGTTTTTTTTGCAATGATAAACAGAGGTCACCCAGATCATTTGGAATTTCCATTTTGTTTCACAATTACATCTGTTTACGTAGGTGTTACTAAACTGTGTTTGTTTGATTTTTATTTTATTTTGGTCTAATAGCTGTGCAATTAGCTTGTATAGCTGGATATTTTAAATGTTTAAAAGTAAAAAATATTATTTAGTTCTCATCTGAATGTTAATAATATTTTTTACTTTGATAGAAATTCTTCATAAGGATTTCAATAATATTCATTTAATAAAAAGTACTCCTCATTTAAAAAAGTAGTGTTTTCTTCATAACCATATAAATAATAATTATGATTGATTAAGATTGCTGTGTTAATATTTTTATTTAATATTTTAGAAACCCTATTTTTTGAATAATGTTTAAGGAAATAAGTACAGTAAAATTAAAATGTACGTAATAAAATAACCACAGACTATGTTATCCATAGATATTTTCGACTTATCTTTACTATTTATTATTTCAAAGGTTCTCTGCATTCAAAGGTTGTAAGAGATCACTTATCAGTGATAAGGTCGCTCATTGTAACTTTTAAAATGTATTTGTTATTTGAATTTAATAGTGTATAATAAAGAGTACCTATTGTATTTTATGTAAATAGGAGAGCTGGGTATGCATGTACACAAATTGTGCCAAACTTTAGTTCAGACACTCAAAATTATTGTTCCTACTTACATACTAACTGACTAAGCTGTAAGAATTCAGTATTAGCAAGATGAAATTACCTCCTGATTACTTTTCCGAATGAACTCGGCATCTGTCCTGAGGAAGGCGTCCTTCAAGGCTCTTCGGAGGTCGGTGGTGAAGTGTGGACTTTCTACCAGATACTGGTGTAAGTGGGCTGCGCAGTAGGTCGCCGCCGCCGAGCCGGCGTGCCCGTCATACACTGCATAAAAGCTTGTCGATTCTGTCGCCTGGAAATTGAAATAAATAAAATGTTGAATCCCTTAAGACAGCCAGCACTTGCAACTCTGGTGTTAAGTCTCCTAGTCTGCGCTGATAGCTTACCATCATACGCCGGTTAGTTTGCTTCCCAACTCATAAAAACAATGTTGTGGACATTTAAATATCGTAAGCTTACCGCTTATGATATTTAAGTATTAAAAAGACAATATTATTAGTCAGATGAAGACCTGTAGAGTATGTTTCATCGAGGTGCTATTGTATATCAGAAGTTACGGAAGACTTATGTAAGGATAGCCATAGCAGTTGGTGCGATGCAGTCTTTTTAATGGTTGACCCACACGAGGATTTCCTCCTGAGTCGTGGGTGTGTTTACAAACATACAATTTCACATACACACGCACACCCAGACCTCGAAGGGAATCTAACCCGCAACACTTTGCGCGGCAGCCAGTTTTCCACCGCGCCAACCTTACATTATAGTTTTTATATGTACATGAATATTACGAAGATGATGCAGAGATGGTTACGGTCAACACAATCAGCGAAGCAAATCAATAGAGAATTTACAGAAACGAAAACGCGTGCTATGAATAAAAGCATATAGATTGGTCCAACGAATATACAAAATAAATAATGAAGCTTGATAAATTATAATAAAGATGTACTAGGCACGTGTTACATAAAACATACCATTGCATCGTTTTCTGCATCATCGTACGGTACCTAGCCCTATACATACATACCTACATATGTTATGGCGTATAAGAAGCGTGCGCCATTCATAAGTACTGGGAAATCATAAACTTATACGACGTCTGTTCCGGTGCCAAATATGTAGAAAATATTACGCGATGCACTTGCGACGACAAAAGAGCTTCCGCACTTAGGCCGATCAGAAACACCAAAAAAAACAGGTCTTGAAAACTAGATTTAGAATTCGGATATTCTTTGGAATCTACCAAACCTTTTTTTGTGTTAGGGAAAATCAATAAATGACTTCACCCGCCCAGGGTAAGAAAACCCCGTTCCTTCTCCTACGCTAGGCCGAGGCCGCGGTGCCTCGTTGCGATGACTGACTGACTGGGGCCCGTCTGAATCTACCAAACCTACCATAGAAATATGTAGTTCTACGTCTATGAGGGACTATATTTTCACTAGTTCGGACCGTATTCAGATCACTCTACTTGGGTTATGGTGATTTTCTTTTGATTTCTATTGACTCACTCACATCTATCAGGAGACTGACAAAATAACTAACTCTCAAGTCCCGATCATTGTCTCACATCAAATTTAGTCTCTTAACTTTAATTTGAGAAATTAAGAGTATCGATCTGATTTTATAAACATCGTACTTAATCTATTTATGAGGTGCGAAATCGAAAACTGTTGCTTAAACGAAAAAGTTAAATACCATCAGATATTAAAAATTCTTGTTAGTAACGCAATAACAGAGTGTCTAGCTATCTGTCTCGTCAGATTGGCAAAATTGGCAGTTCCTTTTCAATGTTACGTGGGTCATAATTTTATAAATGACACTTACATCAATTCCAAAAAGTGCTTCTAAATTTCCGATTTCCACGTGTCGGTCTTCCATGACGCGTCGTGAATTCTTGGTGGCACATGATACAGTCTTTAGGTCGCGTTGGTCGAGTGGCGGTGGGGGTGGAAGGGTGTCCAGCTTCGAGTTGTCTAAGTACCGGAGGCAGACGTCGTTGACGCGGGCAGTCACTGCTTGCATCAACCGAAGGGCTATGTACACTGGAATAAGGAAAAATAAGGATTTAGAACAAGCAATTAATAAAAAATTCATATTAATTACAATGATAAAAGCGTGACTATGAATAAAATTGTGTAGAAATTATCATAAATTATAATTTAATTCTATGACTAATTGAGTGATGGAATCAGAAATCTTTGCGTATTAAATATGATATGACAATATTCTAGTGCACAATAATTAGGTAGTTTCCTAGGTCAACAATAAATTCAATCGACGTTTCAATACAATAAAATATTGAGTGTTGTGTTTCGCCGTGTGAGTGAGGTTACCGGAGGCCCAATCCTTCCCCTTCCCAATCCCTCCCCAGTTCCTAAATCTCCAAATCCCTAATCCCTAAAAGGTCGGCAACGCACTCGTAACTCCTCCGTTGCGGGTGTCCATGGGCGGCGCTGATTGCTTACCATCAGGTAATCCACCTGATCGTTTGCCGACCTATTACATAAAAAAAAATTGTAAAATAACTATACTTTTATTCATTGATCGATCGATACATTAAGGTTTAGATATTTTTAGCTTATTATAAGGAAATAAGTAAGCTATTTGTCGCAAAAATACTTTACCATCTAAACTCAGTTTTACATACATTTCATAGAAAAGTATCGTTTTTGAAATTTGGATAAAAGTATTGAATTTGACTAGTTGGAAACTACCGTGTTGTCACACAAGGAATGAAGGCAGGCGGGCAGTTATATCTAGAAAATAAATAAGATTACCTCTCTAACAAAAAGCTCTTACTTACAATGATAAAGGAAGAAAAGAAGTTTACAATACGTGGTGTTACTTGATTTCTGGTAAATACCACCAATTTTACATCATATCAAACTACTCGTATAGGTACCGAACCAGTGAGTACTAGTTTCGGTGACTAATAGGAAAATGTCAAACAAATAAATCAACGTTATAACCGACTCCAGGAAAATGTTGCGTGGAAAATAAAGTACCATTAATAACGTGCAGAAAACATTGGTATGGTCTTCGTATTTCCAAAATGTCGGGCCAAAACAAATAAACTACGAAGCAATATTATGCCTACTACCTATCACAAATATAAATATAAAAAATAGAATGTATGACGATTAAAACATATTCATGATATTTACACCATGCTTTTTTTATTAGATTTAAAGCCACTAAACGATTTGTTTTAGTATGTTACAATGAATCAGATTCTATCCAAAAGATAAACATTATAGTGTTTTCAATAATTTTTTGCTATCTTTCCATAACGACTGACATAAATACTTGTATATCAATTAGGTAAGACTGGTCCATCATCTGTGTGGTGGTGGCTTGGAGGTTAAGGAGCCCGCTTCTGAGGGTATGGGGTCGAAACCTAGCAAGTACCTATGTGACTTTTTCCGAGTAATAAGTACTTTCTATGATTATTTAGACACCGCTGACATACGGTGAAGGTAAACATCGTGAGGAAACCTGGACTTATAATTTCCAATTATAAGTTTGAACTCGCCAACCCGCATTGAGCAAGCGTGGTGATCAATGCTCTAAACTTCTCCGTATGAGAAGAGGCCTTTGGGCACTTATAGGCTGATGATGATGGTCCATCATCTTGGATGGTGATAATTATACAGTAAGTTCAATAATGAACAACACAAAAATTATAACAATATATGTTTACGACGCCTACCTTCACAAGTAAAATAAGAAAATAATTTACAATACCCAGCACCAGTATCTTCTACACTTAACAGTAGGAGAAACTTGTAATTTTATAGAAAACTAGGTTAATAGAGATGTCCTACTGTGATTTATCTACATCGTTAGTTCAAGAAAATTAAATACCTAATATCATTATTTTCTACAGTAATAAGTTAATCTCAAGAACGATCGCAGCAATTTAAATAGCGGAGATGTTCGGTTATAAATTGTCATTGATAAAAGGAGTCGCGTGCCGTCATGGATATCAGAGACACTGTATTCTAATGCAGCGCTAAAACCTTCATTCAAAAGTCAGTATTGATATTCCTATTGGGTCCCATTCAACTACTGATACGTCGAAGCTTTACAAATGAGGCTAATTAATACAGCACAACATTGAATATAAGAGTCAAGACAAACAATGGCTTGAGATTACATTCATGTCGTCATACGCTTTCCTGCTATTACATTTTCCTACGTATCCAAACGACCTCTTTCTCCAACTAGCGATAGAAGTGCTAAGTGCATTTAAAATTAATCGATTGATATTCGATTAGATTATATTTAGAATCGAGTTGAGTGTACCGAGTGACCACTGCCGCCGGTGTGAATGACGTAACAGAATAAACAAGAGATTGTATGATATCATTATCTGCTAGCGCTCGTCTAGGTACCCTAAACAATGGCAACATTACACACTATTCTTTGTCTATGAGATGGTCACTAAAAGCGGTAACGTTACGTAAGTAGGTACACATTAAAGTCTTGCCAAGTGGTTTGGTTCCTCAATCGATACAATTATGTTTATTGCGTCAGAGCATCAAAGTGTTTGATGGATCGTTACATAACCATAATAGATCATAAATGGCTACTAGACTCGAAGTCGTTCTATAAATTGATTCATAACAAGTATAATCCATACTTATTAAACTTCAAATTCAATAACTAATGAAAGATATTACCTATTTGTAATCGGTCAGATTTCCAATAAGTCATTGATTTGATTACAATGGGCTTACATTCTCAGAAAAGAACTTCCAATACCTAGTTCACTTAAATATCGTGAACTAGGACAAGTGATAGATAGATATTTAGGATACTACTATCCATTACTTCACATCGGATTCAATCGGGTAGCGTTGGGCATGAAATTGCCATAAATAAGCGAACTTACTATCCTGCGTAGAATAAAATATGGGGCGCGTTTTATATCTGTCTGCAGCGATGCTTTCAAGAACTATTAAACTGAAAGGGACTATAGTCGTAGGCATTATTTATGAAACAGATGAAATGTTTGTTAGGTATATCCAGTCCATAAAAAGTTTAACCGCACAGACTTCTTCTATATAGTCGATTTCATCAGTCGTCAAGGCCCATAGATTCTAGGTATCTACACTTATGGACGTATGTCTTAAACTTCTAGTCGCTAATAACATATATCACACAGCCAGTTTTGTCGGAATTATATTTTCTAAAAAAGGCAATGTTGCATCTATTTCTGTCTAAGTCCGAGAAAAAATAATTAAAGTTTTATTATAACGGTGTTAGAGATGATAATAGTACAACATACCTGATTCGTCAGATTTGTACCCAAATTCATTGGGTTGTTTCTTCGATGCTACTCGCACTTCGTCAAGGATTATCCGCCGCAGCGGTGTCATCAGTGTCAGAGGGCATTGTCTGTAAACAAAAAATATTTATTGACATCTCGGGGAGAGTAGAAATATCAGACACATACCTAAGGTACATAGGCATTACTGGTACTACTGAGATATGTATTAAAATGAGAATCCTTTTTTGATGTGTTGAATATTATGTGATATAAAGGAGTTCTTTATTCAGCAGTATACAGTTATCACTGAACTTAAAAAACTAAAAACCACGTGATATTATAAAATTAATGCTTAAATGAAATAAAAATAATTAATAAAATCTATAATATACAAATGAATCGCGAAATGTGTTTGTAAGCGCATAACTCAATAACTACTGGACCAATTTTGCTGATTATTTTTTTGTTATGTTCGTTAATTTTATGTGAAGATTCATACGACAGAAAACTTTAGAAAAGTTAAGGGGAATATCGGGAAATAATAATCCTTTCGGTCCTGTGGCCGTTTGTTAAAAATCGGATACTTTCCCGTGCGAAGCAAGGGCGGTCCGCTAGTAGTTAATAAAAGTGACAGATCACTATGCTAAACTAATAACCTGTAAATAAAACAAATAAAAAAGTTTGTATATGACAACGTTAAGATTAAAAATCGCAGTTGAGATTAAAAAGGGAATGCATGATTAATTGTTCCTTTTTGCGCTGTACTCACAAGAGATAAACAAAACAAAGGCATCATATTTACAAGGAGCTTCGCGGAAAATATATCACTGATTATCTCAAGATATCCGATTCCGGATTTCTAGCAAAACGCAAAACAATAACAACGAATGCGGCAACCTGATACAATGATACCGTTATCAAATCGAACGATAATACAAATTTAAAAACTACCTAGTTTACATTCACCCGATAACTATGTACACAGTACGTAAGTACAACAGCAAAACATTTTTTGTCCACAATGGGCTTTTTATTTAGTTATAATGAATTTCCGTGAAGCCAACAATGGCCAAAAGTGCTAACAGCTGCGAAAGGTAAAAAAACGAGCTGCTAAACGCGTAACAGAGTAATTCAGAAGTCAGAACATGATTATCAAGTTCAAATGTATGTTGTTTTTTTTTTTTATTTATATTATAAAGTAATATTTGTAAGTTTGTATGGAATGGTAGGGGAAACCTCTGGAAACGATGGTCGGATTTCCAAAATCTTTCACTGATAGATAGCTACAATGTTCCTGAGTACCATAGGCTATAAATTATATATATTTTTTTATTTTCTTGATTTGATTTGCGTATTTCAGTCGAGCTATCCCTTTAATCGCTATATTTTTTTTAAATCCCAGTAACAGCATGAGTAAGTAAAGTTTATTGAAGATACATATACTGCGTAAGATATTTATTCTAATAACTAGATGCTACAACTACAAGCTTAAAACACACAAGTCACTTTAGTTGGCAAATGCTACTTATATGCCAGAACCCATCAACAAACCTATTAGCAGGCAATTTCATTAAGGTAGTAAGCTCAATGAAAACATCAAATTGATAGATTGTGTTTATATTAAAGCACGTGGAAGACTTGGTCGTCTATATACGTAAACATAACTATATGATAAACATATCATATACCATTTAATAACGTTTTCGAATAAATATTATTTGGAATAATAGCCACGAAAAACACATATATTATTATTGTCACGATTCACAGTGAATGCACTCACAATAACTAGTTTTGAGTTATAAGAAAATAGCGTGCGAAACTCATTTTAAAGGTAGTGTTTTAATTAATATGAAGTCGTTATCAAAAATATAGACACCTATTCGGCACGTAATACAACCCACTCTTCCAGTTTTAGGCGAGACAGCTAATATAGGTGAATTTATTATTCACACACCGCGTCACTACAAAGAAATGTGTATTTTCTTATAGTCTATGAATTTTATCTCGAGTAGCTAAATCAATATTTGTAAAACAAGTGAACCTGATATAAAAGTACAAACGAATGATGTTGATAAGATCAAAATGTAATGAAAACGATCAATACCTACTTATTTTCAAAAACCTTATAGATTGCGTATTTCATACGATTTCAATCAGACTGAAAAGAGTATCTGTAAGAAATTCTGTTAATAGGGCAGACCATCTTTTTTAGCGAGCCGTGTAAGGCTCAAAGGTGACTTAGGAATTCAGGTAGACGGCCATAAACAGCCTTCTTAACTTTGCGAAAACCTGTTTTTCTTTATGATTGCGGAGTGTAGACGACCGTTGGACCAAACATCGACAATAGTTCGCATAATAATACCGAAAATTTACTAGCATAAAGTGTAAAGCCGGATATAGAAATCCATAAAAAAGTAGATTCTGCTCCATGGGAAGCTTGTCGCCCGGAAATCACCACTAGTGTAAAACTAAAATACAAACTTATACGTCAGGGCGCTTGAGATAGAAAACAGAGTAGTAACAACCGAACTAATAAAGCCCGCTAGAAGAAATACATTGTGCAGTAGACAACGTAGAATATTGTTACGTGCCTGCTGTCACGTTCCTGACTATGCGGGCTTGGGTTACGGGATTGGATGAAATGAAACACTAATACCGGTTTTCAGACTTTCTATTGCACTTAAGTTACAGCGTCCACGGAGTTAGGTTATCGGCGTTCCTCTCCAGCAGAGTCCGGCCGACTGACACAACTTTGCCGTTCACGCTGACTTAACTCACTTAACTGACTGTACTTCACTATTTCACTGCACTTCACTATTTCACTCACTTTTCTTCTTTCTCACTTCTTCCTTTTCTTCCGAATCGCTTTAGGCTTAGAACTCAACTGCCAGCGGTGAGCCGCAGTTCCGCTTATATACCCCCGGTCAGGTTCTAGAACATTCAATTTCGTTATTCTTTTTGATCGTCATGCCTCCAGAACCTTCCAATAATTTCGTTATTCATTTTTATTTATTCTCCTTCTCGCTCCTTAATTTTTCATCACTTTCACTCAAATATTCCAGAAAGTTCGACAAAACTTCCATCAACTAAAAAACTTCATGTTTACGGCGGGACTCGAACTCGGGGTCTCTGTGGTGTAATCCACACGCCTTACCGATTACACCAACTCGTGTTGACAATTCACGACGAAATTTACAATCTCTAGGCAACGTTTGACAACCATCCATTGACGTCATGATGTCAAAGAGTTTTCTGTCACACTGCCCCCCTCCTAGATTCGCTCGTCCCGAGCATCGTTGCTGCCGTAATACCTCGCCAACCTGTCTATATGGACAACTTTCAAAGGGCTCCTTGAAGACTTCCGAATTCTGTAAGTAATGTCATTGATCTTCGTGACTATCTCGTAAGGACCTTCCCAACTCGGTTGCAGCTTTGGAGATTTTCCCTTCCTTCTGACTGGATTATGAAGCCAGACCAATGACCCCTCTTCAAACCCAACAGAATTGGCTCGTCGATCATAGCGCGTCTTTGCGCGATCACTAGCTTGAAGACCGGCCTCCCTGATCTGCTCATAAATGTCCAACATTTTTGCCCTTAACTCGCTTATGTAATCGCTAAACTCGGTGCGAGAATCACCAGGTGGACAGCCCGATACAAGATCTGCCGGTAATCTCAATTCCCTTCCAAAATTTGCCAATGCAGGCGTCTTTGCCGTACTTTCATGTACAGCAGTCCGATAGGCAAGCAAGAAGAGAGGTATGTAAGTGTCCCAATCTCTCTGATGGCTGTCAACCACCTTTGCTAAGTGTCGCTCCAATGTTTGGTTGAAGCGTTCGACCATTCCATCTGACTGTGGATGATAAGGGGTCGTTCGAGTCTTATGGATTCCCAAAAGTTTACAAGTTTCCTGGAAAACTTGGGATTCAAAGTTCCGTCCTTGATCACTGTGCATCTCCAAGGGCACTCCGAATCGGGTGAATACCTCGTTTACCAACTTCGTCGCTACAGTTACTGCCTCTTGATTCGGTATAGCAAAGACCTCCGGCCATTTTGTAAAATAATCCATAACCACTAAAACGTAGCGATTGCCCGAATCAGTGATTGGAAATGGTCCAGCGATGTCTAAGGCTATTCTCTCCCAAGGCATACCAACATTGTAGATTTTCATCGCCCCCCTGCTCCTTGTTTGTGGACCCTTGACAGCTGCACAACTAGTGCATTTCCGGCACCAATCTTCGACGTCATATTTGCAATGCAACCAATAAAACCTCTCCTTGATCTTCACCAAAGTCCTCCTAATCCCCAAATGTCCTCCAGAAGATCCATCATGGAACGCTTTTAATACATCCCTTATTTTTGAACGAGGTACCACCAATTGCAAATGCTCGTCCTTGCCGTTTGTTGATTCCCATTTTCTGCACAGAAGTCCATTATGCAGCGTAAGGCTTTTCCACTGTGCCCATAAACCTTTCGTTACTGCGCTATATTGGGCGACGTCACTCCAACTTGGCTTGTTACCACTTCGTAGCCACTCCAGTATTGGTTTGATATCTGCATCTCTTTCCTGTTCTAATTTCATTGCATCATCTCCCCGTGCCTCGTCAACAGTATCAGTCCTTATCACCTTAAGAAAAGCAATTTCCTTCTTGGCACAATGCTTGCAATCCTCCACGCATGGGCGTCTCGATAATGCATCTGCGTTGCCATGAATTCTTCCGCCGCGATGTTCGATTTCAAAGTCAAATTCCTGAAGTTGTTCCAACCATCTGGCTACTTGGCCTTCGGGATCCTTAAACTGAAGCAGCCATTTCAAAGCAGCGTGATCAGTTCTGATCAAAAATTTCCGTCCCAGTAAATACTTCTTGAAATGGTGCAGGGTTTTGACTACGGCCAGTAATTCCCTCCTGGTCACGCAATAATTCCTCTCCGGCTTCGATAGTGACTTGCTGAAGTAAGCAATAACCTTCTCCTGCTCACCATCGCGTTGTGAAAGGACACCTCCTATTCCAATATTGCTGGCATCCGTATCAACTACGAATATTCCTTTCGCGCTGGGGTATCCGAGAATTGGTGTGTTACAAAGCCGTTCTTTTAGGTCTCGAAAGGCTTGCTCACAATCCTCGTC